CCAGCCTTTTCTTTCCCCACCCAACCATTCTTGGCAAAATTTAGTGATGCTTTCTTTAATGTCTTTGGGTTGCTGAAGGAGGTCTAGCTTGCGTTTTTCTGTCTGCCATCTATCAGTTATGTCCAACTGTAGTTGGTTTTGGATATGCTCGCGCACCTCCACCCCCTCCAATCGCACTCCTTCCATAGTCAAAACACATCTTTGCCACCACAGTGTTCATAAGATTGTTCGTCTTCCCAGGTCAAACATGTTAATTGCAAATTCTTCTTCGGGCCGTCCTGGCCAGTAGCCCGTTAGGATGGCCCGCCAGTCCCATGGCCAGAGGGATCCAAGGACTGTGCTGCCAGATCCGGTCCCACCAGCGCCAGGAGAGGACGGCGTTCGGGCACTGTAGGAAGATGTGCTCAATGGTTTCGGCCGCTTTTTTGGCCGGGTACCCGTGGAGGCATCTACTGCACCAGGGGCATTGATGTACTGTGTGCCAAAAATGTATTTTTGGGACGCTGGACCCGGTTTCCAGCAGGTGTTGCTCCCCACCAATAGATGGAACGGCCCGCTAGGCACAGCCTCAATCCCGGTGGTTCTCTTACCACCACCAGGATAGAGGTCTTGCACCTGTCTCTTATACACATCTAGATGTGTATAAGAGACAGGCTAAGGCCGATTAAGGGCAACCGTGGGATGAGATCTCACGGCCTAAAAAAATCGGCACACATGTAGAAATGATGGGACCACCAAGGGCAAGGGGGCCCCAAAAAAAAAAAAAAAAAGGACGCCGTTCAGATAGCGCTCAGTAACTATTCTGAAAATCAGGATGATATTCTACTGCAAAAAACACTTCAGATATTGGTAACATGGGGAAAGGCTCCCCACCTATCTTTGTTTGGCAGGGCTATCATGATGGTCTTGAACGGAGCCCTGTTTGCATTGCTCTAGTTTGTGGGAACAGTTAGAGCCTTTGGGAATAACCTTTATGCTATCATCAAAAGAAGGGCAGTAACATTCCTGTGGAAACCGTATTCCGCCGACAATGCAAACTTTATCTCCAAAGTAGCCTGGGAGATGCTATGTCTACCCAGAAGCGAAGGTGGCCTGGGAATGCTGGATCCTAGAAAACAGAATAATGCAATGCTTGTGAAATGGATAGTGCGTCCATGCCTGGAATGCCCTGTTCCCCACTGAGTATACCTTGCGGAACATATATTGGCCAGTGAATGGAATCTCCAAAGGAAAGAAGATCTGTGGACCTGTGTATTCCTATACTCTCATCAACGCAGAATCATGTTTAAATCTTCTTTCTCGCACGCGGTAATTCTGGCATGGAAAAGCCTGAGCTATGCCCATATATATGCAGTCCTCTTGAAACTAAAGTCGAGCTGATGGAACTGCAGAGCTTCAGAAATCCACATATTAGACAACCGAATGACGACTAGTTTAAAGCTGACACAGCCCCCTTCAGTTTTGGTCGGACTTGGATGGAGGCTTCATCGAGCATGGAGTGTTTCGGATCACTGACATTTGGGACGAGCTTACTGGTTCTTGGATCACTGGAGCGTTAAAAAAAAAAAAAAAGTAAGAAAGAAAGAAAGAAAGAAAGTAAGAAAGAAAGAAAGAAAAGAAAAGAAAAGAAGAAGAAGAAGACAATGCTCTGAGACAAAAACTGGACAGCCTGAGAGTATTGTATGTAGAAGAAAGGAAACGCAAAATCATTGAGGCCATTCCTGCTACTTGGAAAGACTTGATTGGCCCGACAGCGGTGGACCCTCGGGAAACTTGGCTCACCAACAAACACACACCTGATAATAATAGGCTTTCGAAGCGCTTGCTCATCCAACCTGACGGAAGTGTGTGTTTCAATGCTAGGATCTTTCACAACAAGCTTAGGCAGTAGTATGCCAATCAATCCCGACAACTAACAACCCGACATTGGATTTGAACTCACCCAAATCAAATCTTTGAATCAATGACATGCGATAATGAAGGTCATATATCTTGTGTGGTATTTGATAAAGGAAAGTCGATCTCACACTTAAACCACCAGTACTCGGCCCAACTATCCATGCCAAGCCTGAAAACGGTCTGCGCCGTTTCGTGCCGACCCGCCAGCACAACCAAAAAAAAAAGTTTTGGCTGGCGGCGCCAGCCTTTCAGGTCGAGTACCCCGAGCCTCCGGAAGTTGCGGGGCGTTAACGACAACGCCCCACAGCCGATGTATGGGCCAAGTACTGGTGGTTTAAAACTAGATCCCAAGCTATAGGAATAGCAAGCCAGAGGTGCTAACGGTGAAAACCTTTGCCCAGTACTTGACTATCGCCAGACTGAGAGAGTTGGGTACAATCGCATCACTCCAATGCCTAGAGGTAGTGGCCAGGAACAGATGGTGCCAGTTGCTGACAAAGGAACCGGAAGTTATTGGCAGAGCTTTAAGGAGTTGCTGGGAGCAGCTCAAACTTTCTTCCCAGTCAGAGACAGGCGGTCATTTTGTGGCTACTCTCCCTAACATTCACACCTTCGGCAGTCCGGCTACTAAAACACGGTGAGAGGGTATAACTCAACTGCAGTCGCTGCAACTGGTCCTTTGAATCGACAATCCACCTTTGATGCAACTGTCCATGGCACGCATTTGGGAGTGGGTGACCAAGATCTGAGACAGAATATCCAACAAAGCCTTTCAATGGAACAAATTCTGGATTTTTTTTAGCCGGCATTCCCAATGATCTTAACAATCTCTAAGGGATGGGGCTATGTTGCCCAATCAATCAGAGCAGTTGGCCTTTATGCGATCTGGCAGTACCGCAACGACAGCATCTTCGAGAAGAAAGAGCGGACAAACAGACAGACAGATTCCGAGTTCAAGCCACCTTCTGCAGATTGCTACAAACAGCCATTGTGGCTGATTGGAGAAGGAAAAGGTGACCAAGTCCCAGAACCGACAGAGTGGTTTGGCCTGGTCCCGAGATACCTGGCGTCTAAAAGTAGAGCTGCAGCTTCTGTAGTCTGTAGAGTCTGTGTAGACAACCAGCAAAAAGTCACCTTGGCTCCAATGGTTGTTTAAGGACTTATGTGAGGCTAGCTCGTCAAAGTCGGGCAGTCGGTTTGCTTTGTAATCACAATCATGATAGATTGGCAGGCGGAGGGATTGTCGGTGGAGAGAGTGCATTTGTTTTGGTTCATGAGCTCAAATTGAACTTGCCACCGCAAATTCCACAAAAATAGGCGGCATCTCTTTTCTCTTGCTTCTCTTTCCTTGTCTTCTCTCTCTCTCATCACTTTTCTTTTCTCCTCTACATATCACTTTACCTCAGCCTTTTTTTTTCTTCTTCTTCTTCTTTTTTCCTGACTCTTTGGGCAATCTTTATTTAATTCCATCTTCCTAGTCTGGGTCTAAGTGGTTCAATTAGTGGGAGGACGTTTTTGTTACCAACCTAGCATGTTAGTTAGGAAGACATATATATATTTGGTTAGATGTTCGTCACGTTACACTAGAATGCTAGTGTAGAGTAGAATGCTAGAGCCTAGTGGTACGCCTTTTTCATAAGTGAAGTGAGGATTAATGTTTTTCAGGTTTGTTCCTGTTTTGTTTTTAGCTCTGACAGGTTACTTGTTTGGTGAATCGTTTTTTTTTTTTTTTTTTTTTTTTTTTTTTTTTTTTTTTTTTTTTTTTTTTTTTTTTTTTTTTTTTTTTTTTTTTTTTTTTGTGGATCGTTTTTGGTTTGTGTGGGTTTGAGGCCCTGGTGGATTTTTTTTCTAGAGGGTTTTGGACAGTCAGGACACCGGCTCCGTTTTGGTCATTTCTGCTCCTGGACTTCAATCCCCCAACCCTTAGGTCCCAGCACTTTTCCGGTTTGTATGTGAGGGATTCCCGACCTCAATTTGTTCTTAATATAATGGAAGCCCACTGGGCCAGGTTTTTTTTTTTTTTTTTTTTTTTTTTTTTGGGGGGGGGGGGGGGGGGGGGGGGGCGTGTGCGTTAGGGTTTTTTTTGGGGCGTTCCAGGTTTTGCGTGTAGGGTTCTCTGTTGTTCATCTTTCATGATAAGGGTGTAGATTTTTGGGTTTTCGTTTTAGGGTTTGGGGTTTTCCTCTTTAGGGTTTTGGGTTATCGGGGCTTATGTCAGATCATACTACTGTCTCGTTTTGAACGGTTGTGTACTATTATGAGCTTTAGAAAGCAACGCTTCAACCCCTGTTAATCCAAGACAACCCTTCCACACCGTCCGTCTTTTGGAATCACCACTACTGATCAACAAATATATTTCCCCTCCACTCTGCTCTGAGGGCATCTGGACACAGCAGCCATTGGACTTGAAATTGAAAATAACACTGTAGTTGAGGATCACAGCACCACTACATCATCACAGTGCGCATTCCTACATACTCCAGAATCCAGACCTTCTCCCTCATACTGCTCAGTCTACTGGACACAGCAGACATTAGATTTTTTTAAAAACACAGATCCAACTTTATGGACACAGCAGCGATTAAGCATCTTCCTTTGTGGCATATGGACACAGGAGCGATTAAACATCTTCCTTTTCTTTTTTTTTCCGGAGAACCATTCATTGGAAGAACTTCCATGATAAACAGCCGTTGGCTTCAGACCGCCATCCCATTCTGGCCTGAACACTACTTAGAAAATTTCACACCGTGTCAAAGAACACCTCCTCGAGGATATGGCAGTCGTCAATTCCATAAGTAAAAGAAGAAGAATCACGATACTACCGTAGTGCGGAGTCTCCGGCCCTGTCGTCAGGGTTAGTGCCCCCCCTTAAGGAGCGTAAGGGTTGGTGTTTTGAAACGCCAGCGTGAGAAAAAACAATTTTGTACCATACATCGAAAGATGGCCGTCATTGTGTCGGGCAATGCCTTTCTGTTTTTCGTTTTTTTTTGCCCTTTTCAAGGCCGTATCCGATTGCACACGAGGACTCGAACTCTCGATGTGTTCAGCAGCAGTTACATTGAATTTCGTGCGGTATAGCAGTCAGGTACACGGGCTAGCTGTGGCAGAGAATGTGGAGATCGAACAAGATTATAAACTCAAATTTTCGGCCAAACACTGCGTTGTTGTCGAATGACACTATCAAAGGAGCAGGAGAAGTGCATCTTGAAGACGATCAACAATGATTATAAACAAGAGGAAGTGAAGGAGGAGGAGGAGGAGGAGGGGGAGGAAGAGGAGGAGGGGGAGGAGGAGGACGAGGAGGGGGAGGGAGAGGAAGGAGGGGGAGGACGAGGAGGAGGAGGAGGAGGGGGAGGGAGAGGAGGAGCAGAGACGAGATGGCAATGATCATAGTTCCCGCTCGCCCACTCTTCCTTCTACTGGAGTAATTACTGTATCATCATCCTTCTCTCTCCTCACTGTTTTCATCCTTCGCTCTCCTCACCATCCTCCTTCTCGTCCCAGGAGCAATTACTTCGATTTGACACGAGATTCAGTGCAGAGCATTCCATCCAGAATAGCTGCAGCAGCATTATACTTGAAGCTTGGCTGTCGTTCGCCGCCGTCAGGAAGAATCTCTCTCTCTCTCTCTCTCTCTCTCTCTCTCTCTCTCTCTCTCTCTCTCTCTCTGTGTGTGTGTGTGTGTGTGTGTGTGTGTGTGTGCTCCCAAGTACCCCTGGCGGAGCCAATAAGACAATCTGATGGCGTTGGATCATCGGCACGCAGCTCCGCTTGCAAGCGATCCACATCAGCAAGAACTTGGGTCGATGAGCCAGATGGGCACCATACGGGCGCTAGGAGTAGATCCATACCGTCTTAACCGGAATACAACGTCTGGTTATCATAGCTGTATTTGGGGCAACTTTAAGTCTAGATACAGCAATAATGACCCTACGTTGTGTTCGAGTGAAGACGGTAGGTGGTAGAGGCCAAAAGTGGATCACACGCAAGACACTTCAATCCGGAGGAGGAGGAGGAGAAGGAGGAGGAGAGGTGGACAAGCTCCAGGAGAAGGAAGAGAAGGAAGAAATAGCGACACTGATGATTATGAACATCGACAAATCTGCTAGCTCTACATAAGCATAATTCCTACCAGACATCACGATTTTTTTCTCACGTTAGGGTATCTAATCCTCCTTCCCTGCCCCTTTTCCGGGTCTCCTTCATCTCCTCCTCCTCCTTTTCCTCCTCCACCTCCTCCTCCTCCTCCTCCTCCTTGTTCTCTATCGCTTCTTCCATTCCTCTCCTTGTGCCGCGTTCTTTACAGATGTTTTTTTCGCCGCAAGATTGAATGATGGGTGGCCTTTCCCTGCTGATTCACCAAGTGAAAGATCGATCGAGTTGGTGAAAACTCCCCTGAAAACTCAAACGAACGGCTGGCAATCCATCTCACGACCAACCACCAACCACAGGGGGGCTTCATCATCACTACACAGCGGTTGGCTGGGCGATACTGTACATAAACACAGTTGGATGAGAACGAAGGGACCAGGAGGAAGAAGAGGAGAAGGAGGAGGAGGAGGAGGACTACGACGAGGAGGACAGGAGGCGTAAACAGGTCTTTACAGGAGGAGGGAAAAAGGGAGGCGTCAACAGAAAAAGCGAAGATACAAACGTTTTTACAGGGGGAGGGGGGAAAAAGCGGGGCCTCAAGAGAAAAAGCCAAGACGGAATCAACTCGACTTCGCTTTCGCGCCCAATCCGCCAGCGTCCTTTCTATTTCACTTTTTCTCACGGCTTTCTACCTTTTCTTTTAGTTTTCTTTACATTCTTTCATCTGATTCCGTCAGAATTTGAGCCCATAACTTATTCGCTCTTTCTCGCATTACTGTGATGTCGGATGTTGTTCTCTGCTGTCAGCGGGTGATGCTCCCCACCAATAAATGGAGCCATTTCTCGATTTATGCGTGTCATCCTTGCGCAAGGGCCATGCTAATCTTCTATGTATCGTTCCAATTGGGGTAGGGACTAAATAAACCCCTGGGCTGGGTGGCAGGCTGCTCGCTACAACACAGCGCGTTCGCGTTGTGAGCAACGGCAACAACCATGGGGTCTGGAAAAGGACAACAAATCTGCAGGATGCCATCCACAGGCAGGTCCTTGAGGGGGCAGATAGGCAAAAAACTACTATATAGTTGTTCTCTCGTTCGAAGTAATGATAATGATTGTCATACGTTTTGTGTTCTATTCACGTCTCAATTAGAGAGGCTATGGACGGACAGGAACACCTTCTTCCCCCGACCACGCCGCTCGGTCACGAACATATACAAAACCTGTTCCCGTCCAAATACACAGGCTATGGGTGAACCCGGACACACTGGACTTGGCCACGGTGAGTGGGGCCTCCGTGGCCGAATTTCGCAGTAAATCCTGTGCAGAGAAGAGACCTCACTGACGGTAGCGAGAGACTAGAAGAGACTTAGCATGAGTACCAGTCTGGTTGTTCTTACAAACGGACCCGTTGTCCAACAGGAGTTGCTCCCTACTAATCGACAGGAGTCAGCTACGATGTGAAAAAAGAAAGAGCAATTCAGGATAAATATGGTAGCAAAGCGAAGGGGTGGCGTGAAAAGGGAAAGATATAACAGCAGCGCTGCGAGAGGAACTGCTCTGGCCACACCACGACCTGGAGCACGACTTGCTAGCTACGGCAACTCGTGATCGCGTCCCATAACCTGCACCAGACGGACCAAGCAACACTATATAGCACAAATTGTGAACTATATCGTTTGCCGAGACGTGTAGCTCCGTCCTGTAACTCAAGCTGATTCGGGGGCTGGGTGGCTTAGAATTGGATTTCCTCTGTCTCCTTCTCGCTTGGCCGAGTAGATGGTGCTGATGTGGTGCTCCGAGAGGTGGAGCCAGTGCTGAGTATTGGGTGTTTCCCTGCGAAGTGATGATCCCGGGAGTGGATGAGTACGTGTGTGGCAAGTGGTGAAGGAGGCAGGGGTGATGGCCAAGACGGCCACCCTTTTGGTTGGGAACCAAGTCAACGAGGGGGACCAACTAGCAGCAGGGTCTGTTTCAGACAGACCTGATTGACTGTGCCCCTCAACCGTTGATAACTTGTTCCCCTCGTCTACCACTCTCCTATTCTTGCACAGAACTAGAATATACGTACTGTTCTTCTTTTCCCTGGCATACATTGAGGTGCACTCCATCTATCCCCATAGCAATGACTGAACCACCATAATTGCTATTTTGATGGCTCGGCCCCAGCCTTGTGGAAATTCAATCATCATCCCTCAACCTTTGAGAACCTGTTCTCCTCGTCTACCACTCTCCTATTCTTGCATGGAACTTTGAATATACATTTCTTCTTTTCCCTGGCATGCATTGAGGTGCACTCCATCTATCCCCATGGCAGTGACTAAACCACCATGATTGTTATTCTAATGGCTCAACCCCAGCCTTGTGGAAATTCATTCATCACCACACAATGATTGCTATTCTGATGGCTCAACCCCAGCCTTGTGGAAATTCATTCATCACCACACAATGATTGTTATTCTGATGGCTCGGCCCCAGCCTTGTGGAAATTCATTCATCACCCCTCAACCTTTGATAACTTGTTCCCCTCATCTACCGTTCTCCTATTCGTGCACAAAACTAGAATATACATACATACTTGTCTTCTTTTCCCTGGCATAGATTGAGGTGCAATCCATCTATCCCCATGGCGGTGACTAAACCACCATGATTGCTATTCTGATGGCTTAACCCCAACCTTGTGGAAATTCATTCATCACCTACTTGCAAAACTTCGTGCCTACAGGACCCGGTGTCACTAGCCAAGAAAGAAAGGCATTTCAGAAAAAGCTTGAAACAAACAGTTCCATGTCATTTCAGTTCCCACCCGTGCTTGGCCCACTGGCAGCTTGAAACAAAAACACTGGTCCGTCTACGGCCGCTTTTTTTGGGGTTCGGGAAAGGCCCGGTAGTGTGATTGAGGAGGAAGCCACTGGGCCCAAGGAAAATCAGAAATGGACTGCAGGCTGTCCTCTTGGTTTGCACCACGCACGTTTCCACATGCACCATCACAGTATACACAAGAAAAGAAAAAGAAAACAAAAAAACATCTCTCCGACTAAGACCTGCCTTGTCCCAACGGTAAAACTGACGGGGTGGGAACGACGGCTGAGGGAAGCTAGCGCTACACTACATTGCGCATTCTCGTTGCATTACCGCTCTGTTACATTGGCGGTAGGGACAGCAGCAGGTACCCAACTGAACCCAAGGCCAATGTTGTGCAGGTGGAGTGACGCGTCGTGAGTACAACACATCTCCATCACCGAGCTCGCCCCATTGGGTCTCAGGCACGGTAGTCCTTTTGAGAAAAGTGTTGCAGGCTCATCTTCCCCTTGAGTGGGGAAGAGAGCGCCTCTGTGCTCAGGGCCTTCAATAAATTTTTTCACCTACCCTGCGCACCACCGCTTCGGCTCTGTTCACCTTTTACCATTCGTCATTTTTCCACTTACATAATGCCTTCTCTATCGGAGTCCAGCCTGAATCCCCCAGTTGTCCTGGCCACATAGGGCGGCTGAGATTTCCTTCTAGGGTACTCTATGCTCTATCACGTGACAAGTACGAGTACCTGCTACATCCATGACTTTTGAAAATCAAGAGCACATACAGTGGAGCAATTTTCAAAGTGAGGAACGACGTCCAGGTTCCGAAGAAATTGTAACTTCGGGCAGAGAAGTAGGGCTCTGTGTAGAGGAGGTGGGGAAGGCAGATCTGTCCCCACTCAATAAATTCACAAGATTGTCAAACAGATCTCTTACTGATCTACAATGTTCCAGTAAGGCTCGAGTATCGCCGGAGGCCTGCATGCACGACCGAGGTGAATAGCAAATTGAAGAATGCAGGGGTCATAACGCAACTACTCAGGGTGAATCAACATTGTTTTGGTATGCAGGGAGACTTGAGTAGGGTGGAATTTTTCAGCGACAAAGTTGTTGATAGGACAAGCATTTGAGATCATGTCGGCTTACATGGCAGATTAGGCCTAACGTTGTCGAGCGCGTCGTTCCCGCGCCACGCAGGGCGGGACCCTCCCGACCTCGTCACGCAGGAGTTGGTCTACCTCGTCGCAATACATATGGAGCTTCTGCAAGCCGCTCCGCCTGAGTGAGCCAGCCATACCTCTCGCGAGCCGCTACGACAGGATAGGGCCAATGCGAGGCACGACTTTACCTCCACCTTACGGGAGCTGTCACCTCCCTTCAGTGGGCGTATCCCCGTCGAGCTACCAGTCCACAGTACGAAAGTTAATCAGTTGCAATTGCAGAGGTGGACCGACCGAGGGCATTTCTCGTTCGTTGTAGCATAGGGGGTACGCGCAGTCCCACGCCTCTATCGAATCCGCACGCGAACCGACGCACTGGGGGGCTGAGG